AACCCCCAGGAACTGGGAATTCGATGGAAAAACCCCCCAGAAATCGGGAATTCCATTGGAAAAACCCCCCAGGAATCGGGAATTCCGATGGAAAACGCCCCAGGAATCGGGAATTCTATTGGAAAAACCCCCCAGGAATCGGGAATTCCATTGGAAAAACCCCCCAGGAATCGGGAATTCCGATGGAAAACCCCCCGGAAATTGGGAATTCCAATGGAAAAAAGGCCCAGAAATCCAGAATTCCATTGGAAAAACGCCCCAGAAATTGGGAATTCTGATGGAAAAATGCTCCAGGAATTGGGAATTCCAGTGGGGGGTTTTAGAGCTTGGAATTCCAATGGAAAAACCCCCCAGAAACCGGGAATTCCAATGGAAAACACTCCAGGAATCGGGAATTCCGGTGGAAAAAAGCCCCAGGAATTGGGAATTCCAATGGAAAAAACCCCCAGAAATTGGGAATTCTGATGGAAAACGCTCCAGGAATTGGGAATTCCGGTGGGGGGTTTTAGAGCTTGGAATTCCGATGGAAAAAACCCCCCCGGGAATTGGGAATTCCCGTGAAAAACCCGGGAACGGAGGATTCCAAGCGGGGGGGAATTTTTATATTTGGGATTTTTAAGAGCTTGGAATTCCCCAGAGGGGGAGAAAAAAAAAAAACAAAACCCAAAAAAAAACCGGCCCCAAAAAATCCGGGATCAAAATCCACGGATTTGGCTCCGACATTCCAAACCTGAGCATTCCCATGGGAAAAACTTCTGGAATTCGGCGAAAAATTGGGATTTTTTTCCTCCTTTTTTTTTTGTTAATTGGGAAATAAACGGTGCTTTGGCTGAGCTGGAATTTTGGGTGGGAATTCCTTGGATTTGGGGGATCCCGGACTGGGAAGTGGCGGAAAAAAATTAAAAAAGGGAAGGCTGGGAAAAAGAAAAAACCGGGATTTTGCTGCGGGCGGAAATTCCGGCGCTTCCCACAAAAAGGAGCTTTTTCATTCCAAACCCTCCCAGACGCCGCCCTCATCCCCAAAAAAATCCTCATCCCGAATTTTTCCAGCGGCCTCGCTCTCACCCCATCCCCCTCCTCCAATATTCCCAAATTTTTCCCATTTATTCCCTTTTTTTCCCCCGTTTCTCCCCCCTTTTTTTCCCATTTTATTCCCCAATTTTCCTTTTTTTCCCCCCCTTTTTTTCCTTCTTTTCCCCCCCCCCTCCTTTTCCCCCGTTTTTTTCCCTTTATCCCCATTGGGAATTTCGGGGTTAAACCGTGGAAAATCGGGAAAATCCCGTTAAAAATCCTTAAAAACGGGAATTTTTTAAAGGCGGGAATCCCTGAGGGGGAGGAAAAGGGGGCGTGGCCACAACACGGCACCACCCACACATCCATATATGGGCACAGCAGGCGTGGCCTCCCATATATGGTCCTAGTGGGCGCGGTCAATGCAAATTATATAGCGAGGCGTGGCTTCGGGCCACACCCATATATGGTGTTTTAATGGGCGTGGCTTGCGCTACTCGGCCAATCAAATCGCGCGGGGGGCGTGACCAGGCGAGGCGCCCTGAGGGAGAAGGGCGTGGCCCGGCGTGAGGGGCGGCCCAAGATGGCGGCGCGGCCGTGGCCGCTGCTGCTGCCGCTGCTGCTGCCGCTGCTGGCGGGGCCCTCCCGGCGGCTCCGCGGGGGCCTCGGGCCCGGCCCGGCCGCCGCGTATTTCCCCGAGGAGCGCTGGAACCCGGAGTCGCCGCTGCGGCCGCCCAGCGTGGCCGTGGCGCTGCTGGCGCGGAACGCGGCCCACGCGCTGCCGCTGGTGTTGGGAGGGCTGGAGAGGCTGAGCTACCCCAAGGACAGGATGGCGCTGTGGTCAGTGAGGGGACACTGGGGGGACACTGGGGGACACTGGGGAACACTGGGGGACACTGGGGAAACACTGAGGGAACACTGGGGGATACCGAGGGGACACTGGGGGG